TGATCCCATTAATAGGTTGGAGACCCCCCATTCTTAACATACAGACATACAGACACACAGGCAGTGCCTAAGAGCAGTAGTGCCTCTCTGCCTGGCAGCAGTGTGGTGCAAGCAGGAGAGTGGCCTCTGCAGCAGCTCAGAGCTTTGCAGAGGTGAGGGCAGACAGTGCTGTTCTATCTGGTATGTCACAGGCCATTCCATCACACCACTGTGTTGTCTTTATCCAGAAAGGCTGTCGTCCTTGAAGACATCAAAATGTGGACATCTGCCATTTCTGATGGGTAATGGAGTCATAGTGTAAAAATGCAATGCTTCTTTCTGATTTGAATCTCTTTTCAGCTTCCAGCCCTTCTATCTGTTTTTGCCTTCTTCACTGGATAAAAGAGCTCTTTAAGGGATTTCTTCCCTCATGAAGGTATTTTTATACACCATGGTCAAAGTATCTCTCAGTTCTCTTTGTGGTAAGCTAAATGGATTGAGCTCTTTAAGTCACTCTCTGGCAGACACTTTCTGCCTCAAATCATTTTTGTGTCTTCTTTTCTGCTCTGACTGTAAAATGTAGATGTCTGATTGTATACATTTTTCTAGTATCATTCTTCTAATGCAGTATGCAGGATAAACCACCTTCCTGGCTTCTACTTGCTCTTCCGCTCTTTGTATATTCGAGGATCCCATCCATTCACACACCACAGAACGGCACAGGGAATTATGTCTGCTCGTCTGTTCCGCACATTTAGACCTTGCTCTCCAGTCTGTGTTTCCCTCAGCGTTTTGGGAAACACTTTGTTCCCAGATGTGAAATTTCTGCCAGTAGTTGCCTGGAACAGCCCCCTTTTCCCTGGGGTGCCACTTTGCCCCCCCTGGCCTTCAGCAGGAGCAGAGCTGCCTCCTCCAGATCCCAGGGCTCTGACCCTGAGGCACAGAGGGCTGATGAGTAGGCTTGGCTGCCCTGCCTGTATGTCACATACATACCCTACCTGCACCCAGCTGCCCAGCTCTCAGAGCATCAGCTGGTGGTCGTTCTGCTTGTTCTGGAAGAAAATTGTGTGATAGCTTTTAGCTGTAGTTGGGAGATTGAATGACATGTGGAAGGAATAAATTGCTGCATGGTAAGGAAGAGGCATGTAGGATCTGAGACAAAGAGGAAAAGATCCTTTCCGCTCCCCTTTGTTCTCTTTTTAAAGTCACTTGTGTTTACTGTGCAGAACTGTATACATATATGCACACATATCACTCTGAACTCCTGTGGAGTATCCTGTCACTCCTGTAGAGCCCTGGAAATACACTGGGAGGACACAGGATTTATCATCCTGTTGCTTAACTAAGGATCGGATTATCCAGAGGGGCAACTCCTATGCGGGCATTAAGTAAGCAGCCAGATTCCTACAAAAGTTCATCATCCTCGGTGCTCTGCAGCTATACAAACCAGAGGTGTTACGCTGACCATTTAGAAACTGTGGCTCTTTTTTTGGCTCTGCGAACAGCACCTTGGCTTTTTCAATACCCAATTTTGCTCCCAGGGGCCGAGCACTTGATTCTGCCACTGGGCTACCTTAAAAGTGGGTGGCTGAGGCTGCAGGGGCAGGAGGGCTCCCAGGAGGCTTATTTGAAGTTGCTCTGTGGCACAGCTGAGGGGGCTTGGCACCATCCCCACTTCATGTAACCAATCTCTTGCTTGCCCCTTGGTGAGGACCTGGCGGAAGAGCTGCAGCATCGCTGCTCCCGGCTGGAGCTCCTGTGACTCTGTTATCACCAGGGAGCTGTTTACAGCCTGCAAGCAGCATACAGTGGCTTTGGGTGGTCTTAAAAAGACCCAGAGTGAGAAATCAGAAGTCACACTGTACCACCTTCCCAGATGTAACAGGCTGAGAATACAGCCTGTGTTTCCCGTTCCAGGACATCTTGTTGCTCTCTGCCTGTGCCCCCACAGGGCACCCCTGTATCCACATGCACACAAGGACCGGGCCCTGGGGGAAGGAGCTAGGCTGTCCCCTCGCTGCTGCGGATCCTCGCAAGTCACAGGGTGAGTCAGGCTGTGGGAATGAGCCACTGGAGACCAGCGCAGGCAGCAGCAGGGGTGATGTACAGCCAGAGGCTGGGTAGCCGTGGTGCTAGTGGGGGCATCTGGAGAGGGAAGGAAGAGGCAGCAGTGCCAGTTGGTGGAGAAAGGAAAATGCAGAGGCTGGGCAGAGGGTGTAGGAATGAGAAAGGAAAGGTAGGGAATGAGGAGGAGAAGCGGGAAGTCTAGGGGCTGGAAGGCTCGGGGTGCAGTAGGAGTGGATAGGGGAGCTGGCAGGCAGAGCAGGAGCAAAGAGTGGTGTCAGTGAAGCTTGGATTAGTTTGGTTTTGAAGCTCTGTAACTGTGTAAGTGCTGCACTTAGCCTGAGTTGCTTGACTCGGTGCTCGGCTCCTGTGGTGAGGCTGCATCTCAGCTGTGGTTTGTAAGAGGCAGCCGTGTAGATCACCAATTCCCTGCCACACAGCCAACCACCAGGTTTCATCTCCATGCCCTTGGACATTAACAACAGCAGTGCCAGGCTACAGAGATAAACGTCTTGGGAAGGAGCTCTGCTCCCGGGTGCTAGGGAGCATTTTCCTACCTATGGAGACCTTTAGCCTGGGCTATGCTCTTATTTTCAGGGCACACAACCCAGGACTGCTCCCGGTGATGTCAGCAGGGCTTTTCATCATCAGTTGGGAAGAGCTTTTGCTAAAAAAAAAAGGAGGGGAAATATTCCATGTGGGAGGGTGATCTAGATGAAGGAGACCTGGCTTTAAACCTGTTATTAAAACCAGAAACAGCAAGTTTTTGTGATGGGTAGGTAAACTTGTGTACCCCAAAATTACTAAACACACAGCATTGGAAGTAACACTTTTGTGCTAATCCTCGTATTTCCTTCGGCTGCTGCACAGCATGTGGGGCTCACGTCAGATGGTGGGGCTCCTTTCAAAGCTTTCTTCCTTTTTAAACTCTGGAATTAATTTATAACATAATCCAGTAGAGAATGGAGTGCTTTTACTGCTGGGTGAGTGTGTCCCTCAGCCATACCCGGGTGTGCATTAAGAGCCAGGACAGTAGTTCTGTAAGGAGATTTTTTTTGAAGGCAATTCAAAGATTACTTGGGCCGCAGCCCCAAAGGCAGCTGTGCACTGAGGCTTGCAGAGGAAGCTCTGAGGGATGTCACTTCACAGCATGCCCTTTGGCTCCCAGGTTTTTTCCCCCTTTTTTTTTTTTTTTTTTTTTTCCCTCCTACTGCAGCAAAGGCTCCATTATTTGGCAGCATGGCATTGCTTTTGTCTATAAATGGAAGCGGTTGGCCCGTCTCCCAGTATAACACAAGATAGTCCTGTGTATCAGTTATGCAATCGGTAGCTTGATGACTTCATCAGAAGTCGGGGGAGGGCCAGGGGGTGGTAGGCAAAAGCCTTTGCCATCAGCTCTGCTGGAGACAGCTGATGTCTGTGTGTTTCCCCCCACAGCAAAGAAAGCAGGAGCTCAGCGGCAGGGGTGGGTGAAAGGGCTCAGTGCGGGAGGAGCTGAGGGGTCCTCAGCAGCTGTGATTCCCTGACCCCAGCTTGGGGCAGCCCTCGCCCTTAGGACACTGCAGGGGCCATGCTTGACCAGGTTGTAAAGTGCGAAGTGCAGCACGAGTTGGGAGTGGAGAAAAGGAAAGAGGAGCAGGGAGGGGAACTTTCGAACCAGGGCAGATGTTAAAAGGGGAAAGAACCTAAATATCGGAGAGCTGCCTTTCAAAAAGCAGAGAGCCCTTCAGGGAATATCTGTGCAAAGCAGAGATGTGGACAAATTGTGTTTTGTTATTTCCTCAGAAGAAGGGTCCTTGAAAACCTGACCTTCGTGCAGAAAGGCCGATCCTAATTTCCCAAGCTACATGCAAGCATTGATTTTAACCCTTTCACTGACTGGGCCGGGGTGGGTGCCGCAAAGATCGCTTTCCCGCACGTTCCAAATCGCACAATAATTGACCTCGCTCAAACCCGCCCACGAAGCAGGCGTCCAATCCAAACCTCGCTCTGGCGGGCTTTGCACAGAGGAGGCTAAAGCGATGCAGGTCAAGTTGGTGTTTTTAAATGAGTGCCCACCCCAGTTCATCAATCAAAGAGGTTTCGAGGGCTCTTCACACGCGGGAGAGCACCTGAGGCAGGGAGCGGTCCCGGCTTGGCCCCGGGGAGGCTCCGGCCCCGCTCCGGCCGGGCCGGGCCGCGGGCGGGCAGCGACACCTGCCGGTGTCCCCGGGTGATCCCGGCCCTCCGCCGGAACAAGGGTTGGGATTCCCCCCCTCGGCCTTCCGTCTATCCCTAAAAGGCCAGCAAATTGGATGAAGAACACGAAGGGAAAGCGGGGGTGGGTGCAGGAGGAAGGGGGAGGAATCTTGTGCTGCTTCCTGCCGGCCACGCACGTCGGTCCGGTGCTGCGGGATGGAAATCTCGAATGAACACAATAACGTGGTGCAATTCTGGGGTTCTGGGGCAATATAAGGAGGATTAACGCTGCCAGCTCATTGTGTGCACCCAACACCTTGGCTTCTCAATCCGGAGGACTGTTTTAAATTGTTGTTATGAGAACTGTTTTAAATCGTTGTTGTGAAGAGAGGGAAGGGGAAAGGAAGAGAAAATGTACTTGTCTCCATAAGAAGGGAGAAAAAGTTTAGAAAAACGTGACTCGGAAGTTACATGTCCTGCATGGAAAAAAAAAAAAAAACACAAAACTTGGCACACAACTTAATTATTTCATTATAGATGAATTATATAGTGCACTTGCTTTACCTGAGGGGCTTTAAACTCCAGGAGAAAAGAAGAACCTGTTCCCTGTGGGGAGCAGCCCATGGTCAAAAGCCACGTGCATCTTTCCAAGGACCCACTTCCTCCAAGCTCCATGCTTCATCCACAGACTCAGTGCTTCCCCCAATTTAATGAGCTGTCACTTCTCTTGCCTGTGGAGCACCCCAAGTAACAAGGCCTTCTCTCTCTCTTTTGCACAGGAGCACCAAGTGGGATTGTCGCGCACCACAGGGCCGATGCAGCCTTCTGTACCACCAGGCTCCAGTGTGGTCACGGGCACGAGCTCTGGGGGTCCCTTCCTGGGGAGCCAGCCTCAGGCAGCCATCATGAAGCAGATGCTGATAGAGCAGAGGGCCCAGCTCCACGTAATAGAGCAGCAGAAACAGCAGTTTCTCCGAGAGCAAAGGCAGCAGCAGCAGCAGCAGATCCTGGCAGAGCAGGTACAGTATCCATCTGTCTCAAATACCAGCTGGTATGAGAATGTGAGTGCTACAGACAACACCAGCCCTTCCTTGTAGTAATTCCTTCCTTTAGTAATTATCTCTCTGTGGCTCCTATTGTGGTATTTCAGCAATGGTTGTTAAAGAAGGGGCATCTGTCTCAGTCCTACCACTAGCTTGGCAAATATTACCTGTATTCCCAGTGGTGGACTTGGCAGTTGCATGGGATTTTAGGCAGTGGGAAAGTTAACTCTTAGCCTGGCGTCTCGCGGTGAGTTTACTCCAACAGAAGCAGACTGCAGACTAAGCTGCCTTTCCCCCAGCTCTGAGTGTGGTCTTGCACTGGCAAAATCTGTGTACAGCTGCAGTGATGTGGGACAAAGAACAGATGTGGGTTAAAAGTAGCCTTAGCAAAGATAAAGTTTGTTCATTAACCTGGTTTATTGCATGCCAGTACAAGCAGTTAGGTTAGCACAAAGGAGAGATGGCAGCAAGGGGAGATCCAGAGACTGGAGTGGGAGAACAATAAAACCACCTCTCGCAGTGGCAATGTGGAGGACCTGCATTGGACCCTATCACCTGGCTTCCTGAGCTCTTGAACTTTGCAATATGGATGTTAAATTACCCAGTCAGAATGGTGATGTATGCTTAATTCAGCTGTAGTTTTAAAGCAGCCTAGGAGAGAGTCAGTGAAAAGTCACACTGTTGAGTTCCTATAAGATCATACCCAAAAATGAAGTTGCAGTCCCCTAGTGTTACCTAGATAATATTCTGATAGGTCAGCAGTTGCCTGAAGCTTGGCTTCTCCTGTCTTGCTGGGGAAACATGGCTTAAGACCATGTGGTCAGCTTTAATCCGTATTAGAACTTGTGCACGCTGTGCAACCACAGAAATACTGACTGTGTTCTCCTCTTCTCTTGTTGCTCCTGAGAAACAGAAAAATTTACTCTCAATGAACAGGAAGGGTGCTCCTAGAAATATTTAGGATATAGATGCATGAATTATTTCAAGGGTGAACAAGTGCATAAGAGTGAGAATGCAGTAATGCATCATGGGTTGGGCCAATTCATGTGCATAAAGCTGAGAGCCAGTCAGTGACTTGGCATAAGAAGGCAAGCCCAAAAGTGTTAAAAAGCCACAAGGCTGATGCTGTCAAGTGTGTTGGCAGAGATGAAAGGTGGAAAAGTCACAGTCCTCAGGCTCCTAGATTTTGGGTGGTGTGTGCCTAACAAGATTCCCTTTTTCTTTTTGACAGTCTGTAACACATACTTATGAATGCAGGGATTAGTACTTCCTTCTTTCCCACCTTTGCCGTTTTCTTACCTTTGTTACACATCCTTAGTTTTGGACATAGTATTTGTATGGCTGCAGATGATGCTGCAAGACATGTCCTTTTAATAAATGCTTAGTTGAGCATACCATAGCATCCAAAAGCTCTTCTAAACTCTCTCTGCTTTTATAATCAGCCTTTGATTGTGTTTTACAGTATTCATGAGTATTCATAGAAAACAACCACAGAGGAGCAGTATGGTCTGGATCAAGGGAGGGATACGTTTTGCAATCAGCTGCTCCCCAAATATCATTCACTGAAGCACAAGACAAAATGTGCTTTTGTAGACACTTCTGGTTTGCCTCAGGAATGGTCCTAGGCTGCAGTGCTTGGGTTGGGATGCAATACTCCTTGCAGCTGACTGTTTTGAGTGCAGAGGTGAGGGAAAGTCTTGTACCAGGAACACAAACCTCTAGACCTTGGCAGGAATGAGGGAAGGAAAGTGTGTGTGGCTACAGCTGCCCTTAGACCTCGGTGAGCAACGTTAGTCCATATCTCTCCCTCTCCTTTCTGCCTGACAACAGTGAAGTTCATGCTGTAGAGGTCAGGATGAAGTGGCTGTCAGTAAGGAGAGATGTTGTCAGCTCAGTGCTTGTTCCTTTTTGAACCAAAAGGAGTCTGCGTGCTGAGTAGCCCAAGTGCTCTCAGGAGGACTCTTCAGATGACTCTGCTTGTCTCTCCAGAACAACTCACCAGATAAGAACTGCTGCAGTTCTGCTGCAGTACTTTTGCCACCAGCCCCGTTCTCATCTCACTAATTAATTAATCATCTCTTCCTTTTCTGCTTTCTTTCCCTCCTTCATTTTCAGCAGTTGCAGCAGCAGTCACATTTGCCTCGGCAGCATCTGCAGCAACAGCGAAGCCCGTATCCAGTGCAACAGGTCAACCAGTTCCAAGGTAAAAATCAAATTATTTTTCCTAATCTGGAGTCAATATATGCCCCCCCACCCCCCCATAGCAGGGGCGTGAAACCTCGTGCGTTTTGTGAAGACCAGGGTTTAGGCAGTGTGCCAGAAGAGGAAGACAGGATGTTGCACTCGCCACATATTTTACCAAAGCGGAATGCCCAGCTTTGTGTCTTCAGTTAGGTTTGTAATTTCCTTTCTGCTCCCTTCAGTAAAAGCTGCATTTTTTTTTTATGCCTCTTTGACATCTGGACATCAGGGATTCATTGATGGATTTGTCTTGTTTGCCTCCACTCTTATAATGCATTTTTTTTTTCAGCTAGCATTTTTCACTGTATCTTGGTCTTACCCCTCCTAATTTCCCACTTTTATATAATTTGATGAGCAGAGAATTTCAGAGAGGGCATCCTTATCTGGAGAAGTGACTGATCAATGTCAGGTGTGGGAAACACAGTGAAATACCTGAGACGTAAATAGAGATTTTTTAAATTATCTCAAAAAAAGGAAGGACTATTTTTATGTGCTCGCAAGTAACTGAAGAATGTAAGTGCAATAATTTTGGCTTGGGAAAAGAAGTTAATTCTGAGATTTTTAGGTGCAAAGCATCATCTGAATGTCTTCACTAACCATGGTTTCTCAACAGACATGAAATGAACACACCCTTGCACTCTACATTCATGATAGTGTCATGTAACAGCAATAGTTCTGGTTCCCAGGACATGAACAGGCAGCCACACCTGCTGATATATATCAGGGTGGCTTCTTCTAATTGCCTTCTCATTTTTATCTTTGGCAGCATAAGTTCTGCGTGAAATTATTTTTTCCCCAGTAATTCATTTGCAAAATCAGAAAATGTGTGTGCACTGCCACACGCTGAGATGCATATGTACAATCTTTCTGCATTAATATGTCTTTGAAACCTTTCCTTTGTATGTATTATTTAAAAGAAATGGAGAAGGGAGTTTAGGCTAATCTGACAGAGCAAGGAATTAATTTTCATAAATGAGCTAATTTAAGTAGCTCACCATTTTTTCCTATTCAGTCACATGAATGTAATCCAGTGCAGTAGGTTATGTGTAAATGAGGCCAGAAGGTGGCCCAAAATCTTAAAATCTGTTGCATCTCTCTTTTAACTACTCCTTGTCTGATCTCCTGTCTCTTACACCAAGCATAGTAGTTAACAAAAGTAGTATGTGAACCCACTTGCTGTTAGTGGCTCCTTTGGAGCTTTTCAACTGCCATTTTTGATTAAAAACTAGCTAAAGATGCATTAAGACTTCAACACGATCTGTATCTTAAGCACTTGCTGGAGTCATCTTAAAAAGAGACTGTTTCTAATCATTGAAGGAGATGATCTAAATTAAGAAAAATCAAGGGGACCCCAGTGCCAATCATTAAGAAAGTGGTTTGACATCAGGGCTAAAGTAGAAGCTGCTGCTACATGTGCCCTGTTCAAGTGTGATCCAGATGGTCTCTCTTCATGCTACAAAATGTTTCATTTATCTATATGCTGGAGCTAAAAGCATCCTGCAGAAGCTTATCATGCTGGAGCAAAAGGGAGATGAATCCTCTGCATTATGTGCACCACTCTAGAAATGGCACTTCCTTTATCCAGACCCATTTCTCATGGAAACCAAGCCAACATAAATAACAGGGACCAGTATCCTCCACTCTCCATGGACGTTCAGGTATGTTGTCTGCCACTGAGGGACAACAAATAGGGGCTTACTTAAGAACATTCACATTCTCTTGTACAGTTCTGAACTTTTAAAGCAACCATTTTATGTTTATACCTGGCATTTAATAACATTCAAGCCGGGAGCAATCGTGTGCCTCATACACGCTGAGCTTCACCTGCAGAGTATTGTATTTAGTTCAGTATGGTAGTGACTCAAACCTACAGTGAACCCATGGCATAATCCAAGCTCCAGGTAATTGTTTTTAAATAAAGGTAGTAAACACAGAAGCCTATTGGCTTCCCAGAAACCAATAGCTCCCCGCTACCCCTGAAAGGAAGATGCAAGCATGGTTCAGTTATCTGCCGTGGTGTGGAATTTAACAAGGTTAGGATTTTCTGGTTTCCCATCACTGGCCTAAGGTGAAGTAAAATGTGCTTATAGTATTGATTCACTAATACACTCTCTCTGCTTTAAATGCCCACAAACCCCCAATTTTTCTTCTTTCCATAGACTTAATCAGTAGCAATGCTATAGAAAATCCATTCATTTATGCCTCCCGAGCTATTAAAAAATTGATTGGCCTTCTGAGCCTGACATTTCCATTTTCAAGGCTTACCTTTGAGAGACAATGGAGGTATTTAAAAGAGAGCTTTAAATGGTAAACTGAAGTTCACTTGCTTTGCTGCTGCTGAAGACGACCAGTGGAAGCTTTTCCATTTGCTTGCTAGAAGCTGAATTAGGTGTAGCTGAAGAGGGTAAGTGCTACTGAATCACAGGGCAGATGCAACTTTAAAGTCTTAGGGACTATTTATTTTTTTATGGAGGAGGGTGCACATTGTAGTGGATCCTGGGGAGAAAAAGTACACACAAAAAAAGAAAGGCTCACATTTACTTTTTACAAGGGACTTTGACTCTCAAATCACTTTTTAAAAATTTAATCCCTGGTCCTAACAAAGTAAGAGAAAAGCCTGTTTTAGCCCTGCAGCTCCTGTGGCCATCAGGCTTAGATACTTGATTATGTTATTACCAGGGAGGCAACCCTGTCTGTAATCATGTATTAAACATGCAGTCGTGTTCCCTCGATTGTTCAAGAATCTGAAGTCATGAATCCCTTTGGGTACGCATCCCAAAATTGTCCTAATTGAGAATTACTTAGTGAGTAAATCATTGGCCCTTTAACCTTGCCAGCCTCATTTTAGGCCTGAAGGGAAATTAGGTTGGAATGGAATTCTCTACTGAGCAGTGTCCCGCTTCTCCAATTGAATACACAACACGATCAGCGATTCCTGTTTAGGAACAACACTGGAACTGTGTTGGCTCTCACCTTCCAATTGGAGAGGGAATTTGGCAGGTCAGGACAGAGGCTGCAGCCAAGGTGAGGTGGGGAACATGTAGCCTCTGAAAGGCAGTAAACATTAGGCAGCAAGCACATCTCCCAAGGATGGGTAACCTTCTGGCTCTCTGCTCTCAACCTTCACATGAAAAGTTGTTTTATTTTCTCGGAAAGCACAGCAATCTGAAATACTACTGTGTTGCAAAAGGGACCTACAGATTTCTCTCTTATGCGTGTTAATCAAGATTTACAGGGTTGTGCCTTTTTTCTTACCTTCCTCCCTTTTTGGTGTAGGTTCACCCCAGGACATAGCAGCTGTGAGAAACCAAGCAGCGCTCCAGAACATGAGGACGTCCCGAATGATGGCCCAGAACGCGAGCATGATGGCAATGGGTCCCTCCCAGAACCCGAGCACGCTGCCCACGACTGCGGGCCAGTCGGATTTGGGCATGGCTCCTTACAGCAACGCTTCCTCCAGCCAGCCGGGAATGTACAGTATGAGCACAGGGATGAGCCAAATGTTGCAGCACCCAAACCAAAGCGGCATAAACATGGCACATAACGCAAGCCAGGGGACAAGGCAGCCTGCCTCCGGACAAGCGGTGGGAATGGTTGGCAGTTTTGGTCAGAACATGCTGGTAAACTCTGCTCTTCCCCAGCATCAGCAGCAGATGAAAGGACCCGTGGGCCAGGTCTTACCAAGGCCGCAAGCACCACGACTTCAAAACCTGATGGGGACTGTCCCTCAGGGAACGCAGAACTGGCAGCAGCGAGGCTTGCAAGGCATACCTGGAAGGACTAGCGGTGAAATGGGGCCCTTCAATAACGGCACCACGTACACGATGCAGCCTGGGCAGCCGCGGCTGTCCAAGCAACACTTCCCACAGGGGCTTAATCAGACAGTTGTGGACACAAGTGGGACGGTAAGAGCCCTGAACCCGGCGCTGGGGAGACAGCTGCTGCAACCACTACCTGGGCAGCAGGCAGCCAGCCAGGCCAGGCCCATGGTGATGCCAGCAATCAACCAAGGGGTCCCCACCATGTCAGGCTTCAGCCAGCCCCCGACGCAGCAGATGCCAGGTGGTAACTTTGCTCAGAGCGGCCAAGGCCAAGCATACGAGAGGAATCCCACTCAGGACATACCTTACAACTACAGCAGTGAGGGAGCAGGGGGGTCATTCTCCAGTTTAGCAGAGGGCGCAGACCTCGTGGACTCCATCATTAAGAGCGGACCAGGGGATGAGTGGATACAAGAACTTGATGAGTTGTTTGGAAACCCCCAGTGAATGGGCTTGTACAGTCTGGAGCTTTGGTTGTTACATCTGAAAAAGAAAAGAGAGAGTTGGATGTTCTCCCCATCCCTGGATGGTGGTTGTTGTTTTGTTTGAATTGGTTTGGTTTGGGGTTGTTTTGTTTTCTTTTGTTTTCAGTTGTGCAAACTGAGCTGATCTGTAGCCAACCTTGGAAGATTCAGGGGACGATGACAACATTGGCATCTCAAGGCATTCTACCAGGCAACGTCTGCTGTGTGGCATTGCCCACTCTGCGTCTGTGTGAGGCAGAGTGGGGAAACTGGAGAAGCCAGGCGATGCCTCTGGTTGGGAAAATTTGTTCTTTCTCCTCTTCCAATGAGGTTTCGTTGCACAGTAGTATGGGGTGGTCCCAGTGTCTCCCACCTGATAAAACTGTGAACACTGCAGCTTTCAGGGGAGCAGATGAAAAGCCTGGAGCAAAGCCCACAGATGTCCATGGGCAATCGCACAAGCCCTGGTCAGAAATGGGCTTCACCCCGGGGGTAGGCAGGTCTTGGTGAGCCATGGCCAGGCCCATGGGCCAGCTCTGGGCTGTCGTAAAGCAACGTGCAGCACTCACGTGACAAACCTAAACAAATCATAGAGAGGTCACCATTTTCACTGCAGAGAGATAAAACTCCAGTACGAGCGCAAGAGAACATAAATTTGTCAGTGTTGTGAGGACAGTTTGATTATGGGACTGCTGCTGGAGAGAGCTTAGGTGGGTGGGTTAACTTAATGAGCTGCTTAGTCCCCTTGGGACTTGCAATAGTGCTTCCCTGTCAGAGCACTTTGGCATGTACCTGCTGCTTGGGGGTGTTGAAAGGGCTAAGAGGTACCAAGAGACATCAGCATAGGCCCTGAGCAAGTCCCTCCCTCTCCTTCCTTCCCAGTATGTTCTCAGTTCACTTCCCTCCCCTCCTGTCCTTAAATGTAAAGCAAGGTGAGCTGGCTGCAATTTTTTTCGGGTGAGCCACAAAGGAGCAGGCAGGGGATGAGAAAACAGGCATGAGAAAATGTACAGTGAGAGTCTGGCACACAGATAGGAGTTTCTCTTCCTTACTTGAAAAGTGCAAGTTTAGCAGGTAGTAAAACCCCGGGGTGTCTGGGCTCTCAATGGGCTATGTTCAGTTTTAAAGAGATCTTTGGTCTAATCTCTCTGTTTTGCTGGAATAAAACTCAATGCAGCTTTTGAAGAACAGGAGACAGTGAAGGACTACTGTCAAGACCGTTCATGAATGGGTAAAATAATTGATATTACAAACATGGGCTCTGCCCAACTAAGGTTTTATGTGATACCAATGTATCACTATCTCCACTGCGTAGACCAGTGCTGACCAGCACTGTAATGAAGTTGTGATACATCTCGCACAGTATCAAGTCACCAGCCATTCTGAATGTGTAAAGCAGCAGATCCCAAGCTGCAGTCAGAGGCTGAGGAAAGGTGTTCGCCCAAACCTCGAATCTTTTTAGTGTTTTCAGCTGAGAGCTGCTTATCAGGTTATATATATAGTGGTGCATAAAAAATGTTAATGTGATCCAGAGTCCAGAACTTTTGGCACCCTCTGACATAGTGGTGGCCCTCACAGCCATCAGCTGTGCTCTGCAGCAAAAGTGTTCAACTACCAGTGCCACCTCTCCAGCTACTGATTACCTCCTTGTGTGCTGCTTCCCTTGGGCCCGGCAGTGGCAAGTGCTGAGCCGCTGAAATCCACGGAGGCTGAGGGCACTGGCACTTTGCAGTTTCACATCCTGCCTTTCCCCGTGGAGCACAGATATGCATCACAATAAAGAGTGGGAGCAAATGGGCCTGGAACTATCTCTGCGCCCCATTGGGTTCCCGTTTGCACAGTATCCCCTTGTAGGGCTTTCCTAGAGGAAGGGAATTACCTGTTTTAAACGCTATGCTATCAGCAGGACAAGCTGCATTTTTTAATGTGCTCAAGGTGAGCTGTCAGTCCAGCTTGCTCCGGCTGCTAAATTGTTTTAAAACAGCTTTAGGTGCATCTCTTTTAGCTAACCCCTTTTTAAAGCAAAAGGACCAATTCCAGTTCCTGTTGAAGACCATCAAGGTTTGGCTGTCTCTTGCTTCAGCAAGGAGCCAGATTGGGCCCTAATTCAGTGTAAGGGAGCACCAGCCTACGTTTTTAGTCTATCTTGGGAATGGAAAGGAGGGGCAAACATTGAGAGAAACAGTAACCAGGGTGCTGTGCCTGTGTGTGTGTGTCAGGCACACATCTGCCCAGCCCTGTGTGATGGAGTTGTGACAGGGTGGGGAGCCATCCCCAGCCTGCTGGGTGGGGGGCAACACTGGGATTGTCACGGCATCCTTCCTTGGGTGCCACAGCTGGGAAGGGAGGGTTTAGAAACACACAACCACCATGTGGCAGCCAAATGCAAGTCCCTGTGCATCAGGAAGAGTCAGGCTATGGTGAATAAATGGTGATGAAGACAAGTCTCTATTGTCTTTGTAAAGCTTCCTCCAAATACTCCATACTGGGATCAAGTACTAGAGAGTAGATTTTATTCGATTTGGGATTGTTTTGTTTTTTTTTTCTTCTTTCTTCCTATGGTGCTGATGTATATGTAATGTTAAAAAAAATTTATTTGTAAATATGTTTTTACAATTCTACAGATATCACTGGGTCTACTGCCTGTAAAATATATACATATAAATATATATATATATACTGTTTGTTTAAAATAGAGTATTTTTATTTCATTCCTTAACTCATCCTTACTGCAGTGATATTGCACTTCAGATGACGTCTAATTACTAATTTGTACTGTATCCCTGACAGCAACTTGCTCCATTTTATTCAGATTTTTCTAGTTTTCTGGTTTTACTTTGTACATTAAGCATTGCTTATTTCCTTTTAAGACCTGTACAGAGCTCTGAAAATGTAGAGAAAGACCTGATGTTAACATACCACTTTTAAAGAAAAAGAAACAAAACAAACAAAAAAAACCAACCAAACAAAAAAAGAAACCCAAATAAAAGATGGTTATCTGACTCATATACGTGGTGTATATGGATCATCTCTTGCCCCATTCCTGCGCCTCGATGAGTGATCTTCCAAGGAGGGGAAGGAAGCTGGATGCAGGCAGGCACGTGTGAATCCCTGCATCCCAGGCAGCCCTGCCAGGCTGCCCCCAACAGCTTGTCCCTATCCCTGTGGCAGCAGAGCCACGGACTGCTGTAATGAGCTGCTGGTCAGGGACTGCTTCCCCGCCTTCTGCTGTGCTTTCGGGCCATGGTGCCCCTTTCCCAGGCAAGGTGAGCTACCGAAACCTCCTGTGCTCTGAGGTGAGGCCTGTGCTCAGGCAGATGCTGTGTGGCAGTCGGTCCGTAATTGGGTCCGTTAAATGTGGCAGCTCCGAACTTTTGTGTTTACTGTGTGTAAGGAGCAAAACTGGGGTGCAGGAAAGTGCTCTCAGAGGAGGAGACAAGATGGAGACCCTAGGATTTGGGAGTCCTGTGGCTGAAATTTGAGGAGATGAGATAGGGTGGAAGAAGTGAGGTGTGGTGTTGGATATGGAAGTTGGAGGAAAGAGGTGAGGAAACTGGGGAAGCGTGAAGACACATACTTAGATTAGTTCCCTGTCACCTACTGCTACTACAGTGTGAGAATTGTGTCATCAGAAGCCTTTTGGAACATGGATGTGGACTTGTTGAATGTGTATGACCTGTTCAAGGTAAGCATGTCATGTAGCCAGCCTTCCAGGCTTTGACACCACTTTGCACGCGTTTCCAGCCTGTGGGGGAGTCATGAGGGATCAGACACCAGACCTCTGTTCAGGATGCCAGTGTGGCTTGGCTCCACGTAGAGCCTTAAAGGTGAGGTTCCCCTTCTCTCCTTAATGCCAGTCCAAGACATTTATCATTCTAGATATGGATAAGGAAGAACAAAGAAGGAGACTGGCCAAAGAAGGAGAGCAGCTTGCTGGAGTGTGCCCCTCAAGCATGCGCTTGCTGAGAAGAGATGCTTTCAGCAAGAGGCCCCCAGGTACCAACTGGCTTTGAGGCTGCAGTGGGGACCATCATCATTTCTGATCGTGACTGACAGGTGAACATTCACAACAGGAACATTTGCTCATCAACTCACATCAAGTGCATGCTGAAATATGCATCCTGGTACCGACTCCTCCACCAGCAGGCAGGAAACAGTGTGCTTCTTACCACAGTCATACCAAAGACTGATACTTTCAGCATCCATCTGTTAGAGGTGTGTTTTGATTTTAATTATAGATGAGTCGGTCTTTAACACTTTTCCATCACAGACATTCTGCCCTGGCTTACTGGGGACAAAGCTGTGACCCAGCAGACAGGTGGCATCCTCCACTCCAGGCCTAATTCTGCCCTCTCATTAGCTGGTGGAGCTCCTAGAATGTTAGGTTCATGTTTATCCCTTTGCACTCTGGCTTTGTGTTGCTGGATAATGTTTTGCAGCCTCACACCTGTCTATTTTGACATGTGAAATTTTCCCTGTGTGTGAAAGCAGTTTCTCTCTTTCTGTGAAAGTGGAGGTGAGGAGAGGGAAGCTGTCTATAAACATACCAAAGAACTACAACAGGTAAGCTTGGAATGGTATAAATTCAGAGGCAAAGAAAGACCTATTTAAACACAGTAATGACCTTTGGGTCTCTTCCCATCTGTATTTCAAGTCTGTTACATGGTTTGGACCTTTGTTTTGGTTCTGGAGACAGCAATTCTTGCAGCCTGTGACTGACTGAAGGCATCACTGGCAGGTGGGCAGGTAGATTTTCCATACTTCAGCCCATAAAAAGAAAGTTAACGGAAGAATTCCTGATGATTTATGTGGCTGTTAAATCTGGCCCTGTTGTACTTTCTCCCTGGAGCTAAGTGATGGAGAGCTGCCCTTTCTGTAGCTGTGTCAGCTCCAGCCTGTTCACCATCATGATCTGTCCTTTTTCCCTTCATAGCCACTGTTGGACCCAAGTCTTGCACCTTTGTACTTGTTTAATATTTCAAATGCCATTTCAGTCTTTGATACGTGCAGGCATTAAGTTGTGTCTTTTTATCATGAGATAACTTTGTAGAATCACAGAATGATTTGGGCTGGAAGGGACCTTAAGACCATCTCATTCCAAACCCCTCCTCTCGATGTGTCCATACATGTCTGTTTTCTTCATATGAAAGGTTATTGTGGACCTGACAGACCTCTCAATTATTTTGTGGTTAGGTTATCAGCCTCAGTATACTATTAGAAAGCTTCTGTGTCTTCTTTTTGTCTGGGCTGGCTCTCCTCTTCAGAACTATGACGTCGTGGCTACAGCCTGCCTTCAGGAGGCTTTCTGTGAGGACTGGGAGGGCCCCACTTCTACAAGAAGAGTGTTTGAGCATGTGTTGAACTGTAAACATGCATAATATCAAAAGTCCTCTGCAGAAACACAGGGCCAAGTGCAGCTTTAAGTGTTTTCCTGAGAAAGCAGTGTTTCCATGTATGCTTATACAGCAGTGGCATTGGATTTACTTGGGGAACAGGGTCCTCCCAGCAGCATATTGCATGGAATCGTGTTTCTGCATTTGGCACTGCTGGGGGAAAGGAAGAGGAGTGGAGGGAGACTACAGAGGCACTGGCAAAGCTGAATGACACTGGGTAAGATGCCTGTGGTGCCAGTTGCAACTAAATTACTTAGGGAATTATTGGGTTTAGTTTTCTGTAATTTGTTTAGAGATTGCAATACTGTACCAGGGAAAGAGAACATTTAATTGCAAATGTAGATGTGACATGACATTCTGCCTTACTGACTTTTTCAAGAGTGTAGGGAAAGGAGAAAGTGTAAACAGCTCAGGAAAAACATGCATTTTACATTGCAACTGGCTGTTAGTAAAGAGCTCTGATGCTTTATTCACATGCAGCTTATCATCTTCTTGGTGTCCAGGGAAGGCATCCATGTTAAGTATTTATTTATTTCTTAAAAAGACAGCCAGTCTTCAGAGCAATTTACGGACTTTCTTCATAATGCTGAAGTCCAGGTATTCATCCAGAAAGCTGTTAACAATCCCAGCTGCACTCAGGGCTATCAAACAAATTAGAACTATCAAATTCAAATGAAAACCTGTTAACCTAGAAGTGGAAAGCAGAAAAACGCTGTTATAAGCTGTACATGGTATATTACGGTGAAACTCTTTGTCCACAAAAGTTAGGAAGAGGTGTGTGGAAACAAAAAGGATCACTGCTGCAACACTAGCTTGAGGTGTTTTAGGAATAAACCATGACTTTTCACATGACACACATGACTTTGGCTGTTGGGCAGATACCCAATTCTATCAGGCAAATACCCTCTGCTGAGCTGAGAAGTCTGCTACTGGTTATCACTTTGACTTGGAGATGGATTTTTGGATGAGAAAGGAAGAGCCTGAGTATCCCACTAAACTGCCTAAAGACTTGATACAAGTAGCCTTTCTGGACAAGCCATGTCTAGATGCAGATTTGAAAATGATAAAGTATGGGATTTTCTCAGTTTCAAGAGAGCATGAGGGAAGTCTTTTGCTTAGCCCTAGTTGTAACCACTTCTTTGGGCATGCACTCTAGGTTTGTGGTTATAACTAGCAGGCCTGTGGTCAGTGATTAGGACTGAGATTCAGGGTGAAGAGTAATTACTTTCTTGCTACTAAGGCTGCTGGAGGCTTGTTGTATGTTTTGGGGCCAGGTTGTGCATGCCTGCCTTGTGCTGACCTATTGCTAACTGAGGCTCCCGCTGGAGGTTAGCAGCAGGCAGGCCTTGGGAGCAAAGCCATTTTCCAGGGCTGCCAGGCTGGCTCTCAGCACCCTCTGTTTGATGCAAAGAAATCAGTCTCACCAACATGTGAAGCTCTGCCTAACAGTGAAGCCAGCCACAGCTTTATGGCTTCCTTGAGAGGCTGAATTTATTGTTTTAAGAGTACTGAAGTAAAACATAGGAAAGATCTCTTGAACAAAATACTTTTTTGTTTGTTGATTAAAAAAAAATCCATTATGCTCTCCTTCTTCATTTATTTACATGTCTGTTCCCCAAACTTCCTTAGCAGTTGCAACTCTTCTGGCTGCTGTTCATTTCACGATTCGAATGATTGCATCTCTTATTGGGAGATACAAAACTATCTCCATATATTTCCTCTGGAAAACATAGCCTCCCCCTTCTCTCAA